ACTGCTGAAGCCAGGTGGAATTAGCCCTGCAAAAACATTAGGAAAGGCTCTCAGGGGCCCCAAGTCAGTAAACTCTGAGCCTTGCTAGGTATTCCTTGAGCATGCTACGAGTACAAAATGAGAGAAAAAGCAACACCCTCAGCCTTCTTAAACTTGAAAGGTGAGGTCCTGCTCCCACAGGCCTCAGGGTCTAACAGAAAGGAAGCTGAAGTGACTTATAGTTTAATTTTATTTACTGTAGCTTACAGTAAATAGAAGTAATTCTTCTTCTTCAAAGGCTTTCAGGAAAATTAATTAAAATAAAGAGTGGTTTTGTTGTAACACGCACTCTTAACTATATATCAGGTTGAGGAGTTTTTATTAAAAGGTGGTTCTCCTCCTGAACAAAGACCAAGTTATTTCCAAATATGCATCCTGCAGGTCCCCTGAACATTAACTTCACACTAATATTTATAGAGTAAAGGATTTTGCCTACGCCGGTTAGGATCTCCACTTCAGGGACAGCAGACAGCTTGGACTCACAGCCCCAAAAAAACAAGCACGCCAGTCTTCACCTTCAATCCTCTCCTCACCCAGATTCCTCACAGCCTGAGCCCCTCTCCACAAGCTACCATTTCCCCTCAACAAAAGGAACAAACCCCAAAGAAACAGCCTACTAAATTTCACACCAAAATAGCTCAGGCAGCTTATACCACCTACCTTTAGCTAAGGCTGCCCCTCCCTGTACCCTTCCCACCCTGACAATATCCAGCCACCTCCTCGTACTGCTCCGCCATGTTCTTCAGCCCTGCCAAGGCACCACCCTCATTCCTCTTCCCCAGCCACAGCTGTGGGGCTACCACAACTGCAGTCATCACCTCTCCTCATATTAACCTTCATTTTGGATGGTGACTTCAAAGAACACCGTTTTCAGGAAAATTTTACCTCAGGTCAAGCTTTAGGGCTTACAAATGACAGCTTGTGACAGTGGCTAGCCAGCCTAACTAGAGAGCAAGTGCTGCAGGGGCACACCTCTAACCCAGCCAGCACGCAGGCTGGGATCCCACAGGCACAGTGAGCCTCCCTCAGGTAATCGTCTAGCTAGGAATGTTTCTAACCAAAGAGCACTGCATATTGAAAAAATAAATCATTCTCCATGTGTTGTTTTTCTTGGTTTCTCCCCTAAGAGGGAAGCTACTGGAAAAATCTTTCTCCTCAGAAACACACAGAGTCAGTCTTTGTTACTCATCTCAGAGGCCTGTTTCCTTGCAGCCAGACTGTTTTCCCCTGCAGTTATTTTCGATAGCCTTAATGTTCCTCAGCCTCCAAATGTCAGGGAGTAGGATTTCCACTCTTCCATGTAACATAGTTACTATTACTGTTGCAGCCTCTGTATGATTTGAGGTTTTATGGACACTATCTCCACTGCTTCTAGAGTTATTTACTTGAGCCAAGACCAGGCAACCCTTGTTTTTAGCATCCTTTTTCATATTGTCATAATTTGCCCACATGGCAGTCATCAGTGGTGCCTGTATCACGCTGCCTTCACTACTGACAGAGGAAGGCAAACTCACTCACACCACAGACTCACTGGATCACTGTGACCATTTAATACGTGATCTTGTCTTTTCCAGACAGCGCAGACGGTGCTTCTCGTGGTCACCGTGTTCCTGCTCTCCTGGCTGCCACACCACATCATCACGATGTGGGCAGAGTTTGGGCAGTTTCCCCTGAACAACATCTCCTTCACCTTCCGCATCATCTCTCACTGCTTAGCCTATGGGAACTCTTGTATCAACCCCATCATTTATGCTTTCCTCTCGGAAAACTTCCGCAAGGCCTGCCGGCAAGTCTTCACCTGCAAGTTCTTCCTGCGGTCTGTTCCCACTGAGACGCTGGCCAGAATACGCATGGAGAACTTCTCTACCACACATTCGACCACCAACGTATAAATTGGGCTCATAAATATATTTCAGGAAGAAGAGGAGGGGAAAGGGTGCTGCCTGGGGAGAAGAGGTACACAACTGCATTTCAGGGAGCAGCGCAGCCTGAAAAAAGGTGGACTTTGTCAGACTACCGAGTGGTAGGAGGCATTTTCCCTCCGACTGCTAAGACACTTGTTACAGCTTGTCCTAGGGTAACTTGCTCAGCACTGGGCTACGTGCAACAGAAGTATCTGAACGTCCTTGTAGTGTCCATAAGAGAGAAATTGTATGCAGTTGTAGTTATGCCCACAAATTCTAAAATAAGACTTACATAGAAGGTAGATTATGGACAGACAAGAAAGGAGCAGTTAATTATGTGTGTAGTCAGTCATTAGGATGTGAACAATGAGTGATGTGATGTTTAGAAAGCACTGAAAAGCAGTTTTCAAAAAGTCACACTAAAAAGTCTTTGAATTTTTGTTTCTTAAACAAGTTTGACCGTATCAGAGCTACATATATTTTTAGCTCACTAGCTGTGATAGACTCTCTAAATCTCCTTGAAGGCTTTGCTATAGTATTTACTTATTGGGTAGTAAAACCTTTCACATGATGTGAACGTCTGCATTTGGTGGCTCTGTATCAGCTTATATATCCCAGGGTTTGAACGTCTGTGTGCTCCTGATTGTAATTACTGCTGTTCATCACTGGCTCTGGTAACTGTCTCTTTGTGAGGAACAGTAAGAAAGTTGTATTTCTCAATATATGCTTAAAAGAGCTGTGGTTTTGTTTGAAAGAAATGTTTACAAAAGGCTTCATTGCTAAATGTAGTGTTCTCTATCTATCCAAAGCTTTTTATTGACCACTTTAGTATATAAATGCCAAAAGGTTTTTGTTTTGGTTTTTTTGATAAACTGTTTTGATCAAGAGTGCCCTAGCAACAATTAGTTTAGAACATTTGTACTGAGTTCAAGGTTACTGTTTCTAAACACATAAAGTGCATATTACTTCAAAATTAAGAAGCATATGGCTGAAAGAAATTTATTATTTCACTGTGTTGTCTAATTTCATAATATTGTGTGCTGCAATCCAGAATGACCTGTCATGAGATTCATTATAACATGATACCAGGTCATAAACTGTGTTACCGAATTTTTAAGAGTGAGTTACAGAAGTTAAATTACAAATTATACATCTTAAAAACATAGCAAAAATATCCAAATATAACCTTGTAGAACATCATCTTTTGTTACAACCATCAGAACACACACGATTAATTTCTGTATGCCTACATTGTCTTTTATAATCTGGATAATTTATCAGACGTCAGCCTTCCTCCCATTTTCCCACATTTTAACTCAATAAAAACCCTACTCTCTTATCACCAATGCCACTTAGTTACTGATACAAATGAAGCAGATTATCCTGTTTTTCAGCTGGGATAGAGTTAGTTTTCACAAGAAGCTGGGAGGGGACACAGCCAGGATAGCTGACCCAAACTAGCCAAAGAGATATTCGATATCATATGATGTCATACTCTGTATATAAGGGAGGGAGAGGAAGCTGGCCAGGCTTCTGTTTCTGGGTGGTGAGCAACTGGCACAGTGTATCACATGCCTGGTAAATGCTTTTATTAGTATTTTTGTTCCTCTTCCTTTGTTAAAGAATGAACTACAGCTGAGAGGTTAAGTAGTCCATGAAATGAATGGGTCCAAAATATAAAGGTTTCCAGTCTCCAAGTGGATCACACTGTATTTCTATGAAGTTGAAAGTTTTCTATTGTATTAAATAATTTTACTGCAGCTTGTAACTTCCCTAAGAGCCCCTTAACTGTGCAATGTGAACAGAGTACATGTGTACAATTTCTAGGATAAAGTTATATAGCCTTATCTTTAAGTAATTATCTGTGCAAGTTTTCTCTTTAGTTTTTACTCTCAGTATACTAAGAGTAGCTGCTGTGCCTTATTTCCTCAGAAACAAGATTTAGATACTATGCTGTGATCTTTTCATTTAACAGCTTACTATTTCTACATACTGAGTTTTAGCACAGGCAAAAGTAGATAGCACGGGAAAAACAACAACTAAAAGGCTGTGATAAATCACTGCAACAGAAATCAGAGCTGAAATGCTATTTTTGTGTGATTATTTACCATGAGATACAAACTAACAGCTAGATATGAAATAACCTCAGCCTCACTTTTATCCTTCTAGTTTAAAGCAGAAGAGAACAATGGCATAAAATTCAGAAGAAATCCTGTACTCATTCTTGTTACCTGTGAGTCAACACACTTCTTTCCTTTAACAGAAGATATTTTGAGGTGGGTTGGATTGTGGGGTTGGGGTTTTTTTTGGTTTGGGTTTTTTTTTTTGTTTGTTTGGGGTTTTGTTGGTTTTTTTTTTTACATACGGTCAGTTCAGAGACTGGACACATCACTACAGCAGGCAGGAAAAAAAGAGCAGGAAACATTTTAAGGCTTTTTTTTTTTTTTTTACTTTATTTAATAGAACAGCAAAATTCCCTTTCTCAGTGAAAGATAGCCATAAAATGACAAATTAAGATGTTGAAAAAGCCTCAAGCTTTATTGTGCTTTCTCATTCTCACTGAACTTCGAGGTATCTGGTCTAGAATCCTCTGAATGAACTGCTACATCACAAGAAAATCAAATATAATTTGTCCTTTAGTCTTTCTACATTTATCTATAATCAGTCAAAGTTAATGAATGTTTAGCTGCTGGTGGTGGTAAGCAATGAAATGCACCTGAGCTGCACATCATACAGGCATACTTTCATTCTGATTTGAATTTAAGTTAAAAGTCTCAACAAAATTAAACAAAACAACTGATGAGATTATTCTTCAGTCTTGTCCAAAGGTATTTTGTTACTCACTAGCTTCCTTTTGGAGAGCCATGAATTGTGATGCCTATGGAAATGACTATTGCAGGTTCCAGAACAGTGTGCAAAGTTAACCTGATCACCTGGTTCTGAAACTCAATTCTATACTCTTTCAGTCTAGCTTACGCACAGCAGCTCATTCGTTCTGCCTTAATAACTTCAAACTTAGTCCCTACCAGGCCATTTATTACTTCTTGGCAGCCTGAATCAAGCTCCTTTAGGTGGAGGCTTACTAATAGTGGAGTCCATGCCTGGGAGACCTGTCCTTTTCCGGGCTGCAGTTTCTATTTTCCGCACCAGGTCCACATCCCACCGATGGGTGACAAAACTAACCACAGCTCCAGGTGCCTTGCTTCCAACCCGCCCAACTCGTCCCACGCGGTGCAGGTAGTCCTGCAGGGTGCCTGGGAAGTCATAGTTGACCACTAGCTGCACGCTGCTGGTGTCCAGCCCCCGCGAGGCAAGGTCAGTGCAGACAAGGACAGACACATCACCCTTCTGGAAGGAGGCAAAGATGCCAGCTCTAGCAGCTGCTGACATCTGTCCTTGTAACCTCAGATGCTTGATTTTGTGGTCATCCAGGATATAGCCCAGCCAGTTGACAGTGCTGGCACTGTTGCAGAAGATGAGAACAGTCCCACCAGATGCTGGGTGATCCTTGAGTAGCTGCAGCAGTTCAGGCAGCTTGTCCTGGCCTTTGAGGCGGACAAATTTCTGCTGGACATGGGGTGGCAGGCGGTGCAAGCTCTGGGTGGTGAGGGTGACAAACCGGCTCACATCAGTGAACTTCCCCAGCGTCTGACTCAGCCCCGCAGGGAAAGTGGCTCCGACCACCACCACCTGGGTCCTTGCCTCCCCGGGGCCAGC